TGCTTCAGGGGAAGCCGGACAAGCTTCAGACGACAAGCTTCATTGCCTGCCCCATCACCTGAAAACTTCTCATTTTCCACGCTCTGCAGTAACATGTTATACTGGACAGAGTCTTGCTCGAAACAGTCATTTCACGAGGGCTTGGGAATTGACTGCAGAACAGCCTATTACGTTTTAGTTACCTGTGTTTGAGGTGGATGTCAATGTGAATGGAAAAATATATTTTAAAGTTCACATCAGGATATAGTGTCTGGTGTGTGCCAACTTCCTTTTTTAATAAAATCACTTTTCAAGGAGTGTGAACTGTCTTTGGTCCGACTCCACATAGTGGCTCGCTGAAGTACTTGATTCATTATCTTTTCTGCTTGCTTGGTTCCTCTCTGTGCTCACGCTTGTGTGTGTCTTCAGAGGAAGATGAGTATTTTTCTTTGACAAAGAGTACTTTGCAGTATGATTAAGCTTGAAATAATATGCAGATTTTCCCTGGAGAGCCACTGATAAAATATTTCCCTTGAAGCTTTTTGAGTCGGGATTCTATCACGTTATGGGAAACATTGAGTGATTTAGAGAGTGGAAACAGTTAAATAATGAAAAAAAATTACTCTCGGTTCATCATTTGTGCATGTTCCTGTTGCCATGAGGGCTCAGATTGAGACTTGGCTTCCTCGGGTCCTCCCAACTCTGCCTTTTGGAGTTGAGAGCATCTTACAGATAAGCAATATTTAACTGATGGATTCCTCTGATTGTAAATTAGAACTATGAAAAGCCTGTTTCAGATTGGATTAAGAGTTGGTTAGGTTGGCTGTCGGCAGCAAAAATACTTTTGACTCATCTAGTTGAAGACTAGAGTAAAAGAGCAGGTGACTTGAGCCACCCTCCGAGATCCAATTAACAATGGGGGGATAAGTGAACTGAGCAAAGCTGGCTTTCCCAGAGTGTTTTCGGTGTCCATGGGCCAAGTGTCCGTAGCAGTTTTGCCTGAAGGCTTGGTTTGCAGGCAGCTGCCTTCTGGTCACGTTTGCAGTCTACTTTGTGGTGTCAAGATCTCCAAAAAGCCCCAGGAGTGCTCCTGGGCTGCCGTCTCAGCCTCCCCTCCCCTCCCTTTAGCTGGCTACTGTTGGGGGGGTTTGTCTTCAGTTTGGCAGCCAGGGGGGCCGGTGTAGTAATGATTTCCTGAAGCACTAGTAGGGAACCTGCTGTTGCAGTTGTGCAGCTCATTAGTATGATGGGCTTGTCTGATCAATAAGGTTTGATCTGAAAAACTGCCAATGGATTACGGAGACAGTAGTATTTGCTGCATAATGCTAACAGTTAATCCCTGTATTTAAGAGAATGTTTTTCTTTGGCTTAATTTACTCAAGTGGACATTCAAACAAAATTTAAAAAATCAAAACCCCAAACCTCTAAACCTAAACTAAACCTGTTATATATTTTTGAGACAAGTATTTTATAAAACCCCCTTATGATTGGAAATGCTCATTCTCTGTCCATTTACTTCAGTAATACTCTGAAACAAAACTGTTCTGGCTGTAGTCCAAAACCAATCTATGAATGCACCACAAATGTGATAAATGCTAATCAAATGTAAAATAATGAATCAGCTGTGACATTTTATTATGGAAATTAAACGTCATGCAAACCCTTGCCTAAGGAAAATAAATTGTCAGGAAAAATACTAATTTTCATGTGATAATTAAGTTTTCTTTGCTTTTCATTTCCGTGTCTAATAACGTTTCAGTTTCACTTTTTATAACAGGCATTTGTTATGAATGCCATTTCAAGCAGGATTTAATTTTTTTGAATTGAAAAGGATTGCCACTCCTACTTAATTGTAGGAAAATAGAACTGGATTTAGGGAATGGTTGTGCTATTTTGAGGGTCACAGAGATTTAAAAGGTTGAAAAACTAACTCGCCAAGCATTCTGCACTTCACCACAACCCTTCTAAGCAAGTACGCTGCTCTTCAGTGCTATGATGTCCCTTTTGCTGTGGCAATTCTGGAAGAGTCTGAGTGTCGGTGCATTGTACCTGTTACAAAAAAGCTCCTGCAACTTGTCATGTCAGGGAGAACCTCAGTGGACTGGTAGGCTTATTCTAGACATGTAGTCCTACAGGTGAAACATTAAAAATGATTTTACTAATAATGAAACCTCAGTTTGCTGTGTGGGCCTGGTGGATTTACCTTCAAGGTCTTTAATTTGTTGACCTGATGTGCTTAGGTACTGAATTAGAAGGGATCTCCCTAGCTTGCTGTCTTATGAGCAACAAATGCTCTCCTACATTTCCTCTTTCATAATCATCCTTCCTAATTTCCATCCCATCTCCATTCCCAGCCAGCTATGATCATCGTTATTTTTTGTTGATGTTTGGTTATGTTTATTTTCCTGCAGCAGTTTTCACCTCTTTCTTATATTTGCAAGTAACAATATCCCTTCTCAACTATAGTTTTTCCAGCCTAAGCAGGTGAAGTTCTTTCTGTTCACACCTGTAAGACAGATCTCTATTCTTTGTGCAGTTTTTCTATGCCTGTTGAGGTTTAATTTACCTTTCTTGATAATGAGTGACTCCTGTTTTGCAGCGTATGTCAGAAATTATGTAAGTGGGGTCTTGTGGAGTAGTACTGAATGTCTCTTCAGTAGTTTTGATCACTTCTATTGTGATCATCTTTATTTTTCCATCCTAAAGTGACATTTGTCCATTTCATGGTTGTATTACAACCACCTTGTGGTCAGTTGTTACACACAGAATTTTCTCCTTTACAATTATTAAAACTCCAAGTTGCATGCAGAAGTTTTTATTAGTCTCTGAGCACATGACCTGCCACTTGTGTTTCACTGAGTTTTTTCTGTGTCTGTTATTCATCAAACGCATGCGATCTTTTCTATAGGTTAGTCCAATCCCGCTGTCATGGCAGTGTTTCTTAACTTTGAGCTGTCAGCTGACAGATTTAATCAATGTAGCTTTGCCTTTTGTGTGTTACTTGTTAAAATACTAGGTCAGATGGGAGTCAGAGTTTGTCCTTGACATGGCAATACCTAGTAGTAACCTCTGTCTCAGCTTGAATTTATTCCTTGACACTGCTAATACACAAATGTTTTGAGTGCGTTTCTTGGGGATATTCCCAAGTACTTCATATTTTATCACTTTCAAATTGCAGTGTACAGAAGCACTTCCATATCTAGTATGTATATGGAGTACACAGTTTTAATCATATTTCATTATTTAGTAAACGTGTATAAAAAATGAGGGTATTCAGTGCAACAGTATCTACGAAATTCTATTTTAAATAGTCCTACTAGTCAAACAAAATACTTGCACAATTACATCTGTCATACTGATTAACGTGAGTGATGTCCTGACAGCATTATGTCCTGTCAAGCAGATGTGTTAAGGATCTCCTGAACTTGGCCAGTTTAAGCAGGGCTAAAAGTATTTGTGGTGTATAATTTTGAAAAAATCTGAGCACACTTTTATATCACCACTAATGATGCTGCTTGGCCATTTCTGATTAAACCACCACTGGCATTCACATTACTCAGGATAGTTTTCATACCACAGGACCTTGAGCTAACAGTTGTTTTCCTAAACTTTCATCTCCTTGGGGTCTCTCTTCTGCTGGAAATTTTGTGGACCATTATTTGTGATACAACATGGGCGATGTTTCCTATTTTGTCTTTATCTCTTGTTTAGGTGTCTTGACCTGCCCTGATTCAACTTAAGTCTCAAAGCCAGTAGGCTATCACAGAATTTAATGCCTCGAGTCAGATCATTCTGTGAAAGTTTTCCTTAGCTCTTTCTTCAGTTAGCAAGGTGTCCTAGAGGAATGGAATGGTTTTTGCTTAGTCGAGATATTTGTAAAACTCGGGGACTTAAGATTCTTCCCTCCCTCAGATGTCTGATCTTGCTGTTCTCTTTCTGATTCCCTTAAGCACAAACAGAAGATTTAATTCTTCGTGTATGGGTTCTTCAATCTTCCTTGTCCTTAGCAGGATGTCATGACCACTGATGGTCTAATAACGCACTCAGCGCTGCGCATGTTGCTTTCTGGAGGCTTCAGTTGACACTGGTGGGATAAGCAATGAATGTAAACAGAGGGAGGTCACCCAAGCTCTCTGACTAGTTTGCAAATTATTGGAATAGATGGGAAGGAAAAGAGGAACAGAGAAAGCCACCTGCTGAGGACTGTAGTACAGCTTACTAGCAGATCTACTAGGGCTCTGGTTTCTTTATCCTATCCAGGAGCCTTATAGCATTTCATGGGGTCTTGGTCAACTCCTCCCCTGGCCATTTTTCCTTTTTGTTTGTGCCCCCTTCCCCCCACCCTAGCCATTCTCACCCATATGTTTTTTACCAAAAAATGAAGATCTGAGTCTTCAGTTTACTTGTGTTTTTTTTAAACTCCATCCATCATGCCTCAGGGCAGCTAATACAGTTTGCTAGTGCCCGATCATACAAGCACCAGAAAGTTTTTGGCAGTTCATAAAACCAGATTTCCCTTGGTAGTGTTACATTTTGTATCATCTTTAAACATGACATTTTTAGCAGACAAAAATAAGTTGGAAATGGATCTTTGATACTTTCTTAGTTATATTATTTTTCTCTCCTGTTTCACTGCAATTCCTCTGTTTCATGCTTGATAAAGTTATTTGTGAAGTTGCTTTCTGAAATCCTTCAGCTCCAAGGAAAGGCAGGTGGAGATTTGTTGTGGCACTGTAGCTGGACAGAATATTTTTGGCCTTTTACTTCTATCACATAACCAAAATGAAGATATCCCCTGCCAAAAAATCTAATGATGTAGGCCATCGTCTCTTTAAACGTTGAACAATTTCTCTTGGCAATGTTACTCTTATATACCATTAAGAATCAATACTTTTGAGACAAAGCTGCTATTTCCCCATAGGTACTTTGTATTTAGGTCTGTCAACAAAGTATGACTACACAGTGGATGGTTGCTGGTTGCATTTAGGGTACTCAAATGTGACTTTGTTTTGTTTAAACAGATGATCTGTCACAGTTTGTCCACTATACCTTGTCAAAGTCAGTGTTTTGACATTCTCCAGACTGGTATCTGTAAATATCTGGTAAGTACCATTTTGTCTTCTAGGTTAACTTTCTTGTGATAGGTTTTTGTAATAGTTTCATTAACCCTCAAATCTACTTACTCCATATATTTCATCTATAATTTCAACATTTGCAAAAATCTGCAACAAGATTAGTGGAATTTTGAAAAAATACCTAATAACTGTTGCTATCCAAATGTTCATGCATTTTTTTTTTTTTTTGTCTGATTGTTCAGCTTGTTTTCAAGCCAGGACAGCCATAGATGAAAGGTTTCTTGTTTTGTTTTGTTTTATTTTTCAAAAGAGCATCTAGCAGCTTTAGATGAGTTTTACAGTCTGTCTTCTAATCCTGAACACTCCCTGAGCTGTGGAGGGGATGGCAAAGCCAGTGCTGGGTAACAGAATTGTGAGCGACAGCATTTCTAGTTGCTAGCTGCTGAGAGGGAGGACCTGCCTGTCATCCAGTCCAGGCGGGTCTGCAATCTAACGTGTATCTGCAGTTCCCTCTGTGGAGCCCTACTGAAAAATTAGTAGACCAAAGCTTCCAGAGGGAGTGGCACACCTATAACAGCAGTCTGGATTTTTGGGGGTGCGTGTTGACTTAAATTAGAATTTATAAATCAGCTTCTGTGTTCTACTACACCGTCTCTTTGAAAGCCAGTAGTTACTAGTTGTTGAGACTGCTGCCCAAGATCTCTAACTGATGACACCTAACAGGGAAGAAAGGCGCCATGTAGGCAACATCCTACATGGGAACTTATTTGAGCTGTCTCATCTACTGTATTGGTATAGATTGAAATGTCTGTGTTCTTTGTTGATCTTTCTCTAAACATTTATAAAAGAAACAGTTGGCATTAAGCGAACCAACTGCCTCTCTCATCTTAAAACAACGTACTTGCACATGAGAAAATTAGGCCACTCTAAAACTCATTAAATTACTTTTTTAATAAGATAAATGGTGCCACATTAGCAATACATGATTTTTTTTAATGGCATTATAGGACAAAAATCTAGTATAGTTACTTAATAGCATTTCAAAATTTAAACTGCTTTCTAATTCACTGCCTCTACCCAAAAGATATTTTTTTTTCTAAATTATTTTATTTATCATGCCTATAAAATCCTTACTCAAGATGATGTTCTCATTTTAACAACAGAGGAGTGTCACCCCAGCTGTGGGCCCACCATATGTTTAATCAGTGTTAATTTATCTTGGCTCATAATGCTCTCATTCCTGTTGAGCCGGTTGGTTCTCTAGGGAGACTCACCCTGATGATGATCCAGTAGAAGCTTTTCTTTCTGGAGAGTATATCTGAGTTTCCTTCTACCTCAGTGCTTGCTCCACTGCCATTTCAAGACATGGAAAGGCTGCTCGGTCCCACGGTATATGCTTAAAAGGAAAGACCTGTTCTGTCCAAAAGATTCTGTTTGTGCCTGTACTGTCTTTCAGAGCAAGGCTAAAAGCAGCAGGGTTTTTTAAAAGATGTTTGAGTGTTTATTTTGAGGGGATGCAATGAAGATGTTAGTTTAACCTTCTGTTGGTATGGGTGGCAATATTTCTTAGGAAAACAGGGATTCGAAAGAAATGCAGTAGTGTGTAGAATTTCAGCAGAATCAAAGTGATGTATGTTGCGATATGAAAGAGATTCATTCAGCTCTAGACATGCTTGTATATCAGCAAAAAAACTTGTGTATAAAGTGATCAACTTAGGGTGTTTTGTTTTAATACAGGTTGGATTGGTTGTAATACCTGATAGCACAGCTGGATCTGTTCTATGTGCCATAAATAAGCTCTTGGATCAAGCTTGCATCCTAAGTGAAAACCTGCACAAGTTCTTAGCCTCTTGTTGTTACAGTCTTCTGTACTTTCTGCTAACTTTAGACAAAGAGGATGCAGAACATGTACAGAAAAGGTAATGCTGCTTTTCTCTGCCTTTATACCCACAAGTATTTAGAGATGTAAAATGAAAGGATGCATCCCCGCCCATGCCCCTAATTTATTTTGCTGTCTGTCTTTTGCTTACTTCAAAACAGTACTTAGATTTAAGAAAAAACAGCTGCAAGTTAGCTGGAATTACTTCAAACAATAACTAAAGAAGGTTTCATCTCAAAGCTTTTACTTACTACAAGTGCTAGTTATATGTCAGAACTATCCTGACTTTAGAAAGGTGGCTATTTATACCTTAATCTTTAGCTTTAGCCTTTAGTTTCATTAGATACATTGAAAAGCAACATGCAAAGGATTTGGCTTTATAAGCCTGTACTCTTAACTGACTTGATATTTCAGCTTTAACGAAACTTTTCAGGCATCATTTTCTAGACTGCAAATCCATTTCAGTTAAAAAACCAAAAACTACAGACATCAGATTTAAATGTTTAGTTACCTGTATAACAGAAATGTCTTTAAACACTTCAAACTTCATATTTTTCCTTTAACTGTTCCATACACAGGGAAGTTGTTCAAAGCTTACTTAAAATTTCAGATGTGTTTTTAAAGCTGGAGTTGTCCTTCACTTACTGTGTTTAATGACTTGCATGCAAAAAGCTTCTATTGTTTGATTTCTTATGAGTCTTAAATAAGATTCACGTGTACCTGAACAATGACTGAAATAAAAACCTCTTCCCAGCTTCCTCAAGCAGAAATTAGACTGTGTAAGAGCTTCAGCAACATTTGTAGCTCCAGGGCAGGATGTAAATTTTTTCACAATGCTGTACATAATTTTAGCGTATTTTCAAGTTTAGCATTTTCTGGTACAAATTTTCTGCTTCAGCACTAATTATGGTGAAGGCAGTTGGTGTGACTATGTTCATAGAGGCACGTTTCCTTGTACAGCTGTGAGGCTGTCATAGAAGCATACTTGAAATACGTGTCCATAATCATTTCAATTTTTGTTCTGTTCCTCTCAGGGATATGCTGTGGGGATCATGTATTTCTGCATTAGCACTCCTGCCACGATTACTGAGGCTGATGCTGCAAAGTCTGCAAGTGAGCAGGATCTGTCGGGAAGAACTGCCTGTCGTTGCTCAGTTGCTTCGCTTACTAATGCAACATGGTCAGCTCAGGAGCCATATGATCACAAATGAATTTCTGGTGCAACAGATTATCAAGGACATCATGGTATGAAAGGTCTTGTTGTATCCCAGAGACTACAGGGATATATACTTTGTGTTTAAAAATTATTGCAAACCCTGAAGAACAGATGTTTAGCAAAGCACGAGTCATGATTGTCTTTTATGTGTCTTGAAGTCCAGGCTGTGTAGAAGGCTGCTGCTTGTCTGAACTCCTGCAGTCATTGCACAGATGTGAGTTTTGAAGTTTAGCTTGCACCCAGGTCAGGGGCCCTGGACAACAGTTGGCTTCCTAACAAAATGCACTGGAAGTGAATTGCCTACACGGCCTGCCTGAGGCAGAGCTGTCCCAAAATAAGAAACTATTTCGGTTTATTGGAGCAGGGGTATAAAAGTGTACGGAGACGTTATTAAATCAGACAAATTCTCTTAAGTATGTGTGATGGGTTTGCCCTTGGCTGGGGGACAAACCACACACCCACTCACCCAATTTCCCCTCCCTCCCCACCCAAGGAGGGGTGAGAGAATTAAAGGGGTAAAGGGAA